TGAAACTTTATAATAAATTGCAAGCAAATTTAAATAACAAAAACATGTCATGTGATTTACAGAATTTAATTAATGAGCTACCAGGTAATTGAGCTGGTAGTTTTCAAACCAAATTTGATAGTATTTTCCACAAAGTGGTAGTTAGGAACTGAACAATGCTCAACTATCTAACAAACAAAGCTATGCATCTGCAGTCAGGCTGGTAGTTTTGAAGAAGTCACAAAATTATTTTTTACTAAAAGAAATAATCTCTAAGAATCTATATTCACAAATTTAATTTTTACAGTTTATTTTCAAAATTTGTTTATCGAGACATTTAGCCAATGAGAAGTTATGTCCATTAGGTCCAAAAATTGTAAAAAAAATACTGAAAAATGATGCCAACATTTTGGTGAAAAAATAACGCTCTCAAGCGATTGAAAAAAGGTAATTACAATACAATTTGATTTTTGAATGCGAACTAATAGTTGCTGGGTGTTTGAATATGGCTTCATGTAAAATTCTCCCAGTCTCCTTCAAAACTGAAACATCATCTATTAAAGACAGAGAATAACTGATTGCTTCTTTTGATTTATAGAAAACTACGAAGGGTTGGCGCGAAATCTTGATTGATGTTGCAAACGATTCATCTGATCAGCTACGGTTTGTACTGTCTCCCACGGAAACGCCGGCATCACAGTTATTTATTGAGGTATGGTAGATGTTTATTTTTCAGAAGTTATAAGCGACAAGCAAAGGTATTTGATAGAGCAGACTCTTGGGGGAAAACTATGAGAGACATGCAAGCGAAGTGATTACATTTATTTGCCCAAGTTATCAATAAAGTTAACTACATTTTTCTGAAAACTGTGAAACAACTTGATTTTTGCTTTTTTTTTTTACTTTTCTTATTTTGTCTTTCCAGCCAGATGAAAAAAGGATCATGTGGAGGTTTGCACGATGGGAGGAGTGATAGTAGAAGAAATAGTCAAAAGAATCGACCATAGTGGCGGTAATGCTCTCATTGTTGATTATGGTCATAATGGAAACAAAACGGATACTTTCAGAGTAAGTACATACAATATTTATACATCACCAAATACTGTATCTGTTATTTGAGATGTGTACATACAAGAATAGGCACTATAAAATGATAGTTAAGATTCCAAGTTTTAAAAAAGTGGATCATCTAAAAAATGATGTGAGTACATGGATCAAGGAAAGCGCTTCACAATATACAAATCCACAATTTTCTATCCATTTCTTTTGATTTGCCCCTTTACACCAAGCAAGTAAACTGACATATTATATACCATATTTTAATTTCGGCATCACGTGGAAGTGAAAGTCCTTGACTTCATTCTAAAATCGGCATCAGCAAACAAATAGTTGGAAATTTTATAATCCAACAAAAATATTGCATGGTATTTCCATGGGATAATAAAATAATAGAAGTATTTAGCATTTAAGCTTGCACAGTGAGAACAGCTCATGGTCGAAACAAAGCTTACCTATTTTCGCTAGATTCAATAAAACACTATTAAAAGCTACTACGAAAATCCTTCAGTGTCAGGAAAGATTGAAATGTTTCAAAATTGATGCCAAAATTATAATATTTAAAATACACGTACACAAAACTGATATTCAAACTGACTTCCTTCTCAAATTGTTATAGGCCTTCAAAGAACATGAACTACATGACGTGTTGAAGGAGCCTGGTAGCGCTGATCTAACTGCTGATGTGGATTTTTCATATTTACGAAAAACTATCGGTGACACAGGTAAGTACAGGAAACATTCCCCCACCCTGGGAATATATCAGCGACACAATTCCCCCATCCCTGGGAATATATCAGCGACACAATTCCCCCATCCCTGGGAATATATCAGCGACACAATTCCCCCATCCCTGGGAATATATCAGCGACACAATTCCCCCATCCCTGGGAATATATCAGCGACACAATTCCCCCATTCCTGGGAATATAGACGATGTGAAACTATAATAATTCACCTACCCCAGGGTTCACAGTGACACGTAGTTCTCATGTCACTGGTAACATTTAAAAAAAAAAAATTTTTTTTTTAGTTCTTGATAATTAACGTTACTGTCTTTCATGATTTTTTTTTATATCAAAGTTGTGTGTAATTAAAGTTGTACTGTCAGCAGAATTTTGGTTGAAGCTTTTGCAATATTATTAAAAATATGTTACAGGATTCTCTAGATATCTGCATCACCGATAACCAAAAACACTGAGCAGTTTTCAGCATATTACCGGAAAATCTGTATTAGAAGCTGCATCCTTAATAGAAGTCGCCCCATTCTTTTTGAACAATTGAGAACCAAGAATTCATCATTTTCTTCATACGAGTGTGTGGTTGCTCTAATAGAAGCTGCATCCCTTCTGTTGCATTGTAACATTTTAATAGAAGCCGTCGCTTTTAATACAGATTTTACAGTAGGGTGTCATGTCAGTGAATTGTGCATAAGATTATTATGTGACGTAACCGGTACACTGGACTCTTTTGTTTCTTGTATATTGTTATTTAGTGAGCATTACATACTTCCTAGGTTAGTTTTGTTTAGTATTCAGAATGATGAGGAAAGAATTGTACACAAGTGATCTGACTTTTGAATTGAATGCACAACTGGATTAATTGTAGTAAATAATAATAACTGTGGATAATCG